GAGTGGGGGGTTATTATTGACGTGGGGTAACTCCCCACATCATTCCTGATTTTGTTGCATATCACTGCAAACAAGAAAAATGGAACAGAACTTCCCAGGCATTCTCTCAAGCTCTCTCTCTCAATTCCCTCTTAGTTTCCAAATCAAAGCTCCCATAAGCGAGATTTTCGTTCCTAGAGGATAGTGGGAACRTCGGTGGTGGTGTTCGTTGGTGATTCCTTGAAGAACGGTTCTTCAAAGGTAAAAGAAAATTTGTTTCCCCTGTATTTCATGTTTCTGTTGTGGGTTTTGTTCCCTAAAAATTCAAGAACAAAGATCTTCGTATCCGTTGCGGGATTAACGTCYCATCAATTGGTATCAGAGCGGCGTTTACGTTCTGAATTTTTTAAGATCAAAATCAYTGTTTTTGGTGGTTAATTATGTATTTTTGAAATATGGGTTTTGAGGGTTGGATGTTTGCGAATTTTGGCATATAGATAGCGTTTTTCATCATGATTCGATCAAGTAAAGGTCCGTTGTTTTGGGCATTTTGTTTTTGTATCGTGTCTGTAAGTCTAAGTCACTCGAAAGCTGTTCGTGGMGTCAGATTGGGCGAAATTTTTCATAAAACAGCGAAGAAGACGAAGCAGCCCCCATAGAAAGCGTGATGGCTCTGTGCTGCAGCTGCTGTGGTTTGCTGCAGCAGAGCCGTGGCACTGTCCCAATTCGTGGTTCGAGTGCTATTTCGAGTGTTTTCTTCGGTTTTTTAATTATTTATGTATTTTGCTTTCTTAGGATGCCAAAATTTAGTCCAACTTTGCTTATTAATTATTTTATGCATATTGAATGTATATTTTAATTAAATGTAAATTGCATAATGTATGTCATATAGTTTTAAAATCTCACCACAAGATACATGCATCATATGTATATTTRATATATAGTATGTATTTATGATCATGCATCATATATATATAATAGTTATAATTTATGATAGCATGTTTATTTTCAAAATTGATTAATATAAMTGTTATATTAATTTGATGAAAATAAAGTTKCATTGAACATGACATTAYTTTAGTTAATGTAATTGTYATGTTAATGTATGTTTGCAATACATGTTTATAGTTTTAATTGAAGGGATGTGATTCCCGGAGCGGAAGYGGATTTTCGTTGCTGATTTTAGGGATACAAAATCGAAATTGAAAGAGGGAAAATACAGGGGAAATTTTACCTTTGAAGAACGTTTCTTCAACCAGTTTTCCTCGAACACCACCACTAATTCTTCCTCGCTATTCTCTTGGGTCTCGGGATCGTGCTTGTGGTAGCACCTTGATCGAAGAGAGGGAGAGATTGAGAGAATTTTTTTTGATTGAGAGAGCTTCACGTTGGGAGTGTTGTGTTGTTCTGTTTTGCAGAACCTTTCTGCAAATTTTCCCCAGAAAACCAGTGACGTGGGGAGTTAATAATTAATATTAATAATATTAATAATATATATATATATTTATATAAATAATTAATATATATATAATATATATATATATATATATAATAATTAAAATATAAAATTACTTTATTAATTAATCATATTAATTAATAAATAATTATTAATTATTAATCCAATTAATAATTAATATATATATATATAAATCAAATAAATAATTAACACTTAATTATTTATCACAAAAATAGAATCATATTCTATAACATTTCTCTCGTATAACCTATAGTTCTAATGTACATCTTATGCACATTATTTTTAACYTATAGTTTTAATATGAATCTTATTCATATTAATTTTATTTGAATCTCATTCAAATAATTTCTCTCATAATATATAGTTTTAATTTATAATTAACTATATATTATAATGTATCAATATACATATAATCCCTTAAGTAATTTGAACAATTCAAATTCTTYCAAAAACTTGATCCTCGTTTTACCCGTTATGAGCTAGCAAGAGGACCTAATGKACCTACAGATCCGAAGCTCCAACGATGCAAGATTAATCGGTCAAACTCATTGACCGAGTTAATCTAGATTTGTTAACTACGAGTCATTCCACTAAAGACCCGCAGTTGCACTCTTCTCACTGCAGAGTGTTTTCGTGTCCATGGATATATGACCATTAATGACGAGTCAATCCTTCACGAGTGTTCGTAACTCAAGTTGGGTCAAATTACCGTTTTAGCCCTGAGTTACATCTTACTCCTTAAACACCACTGCTCCTCTAATGAACAACCCGGTTATGGTCCAACCAATAACCGGAAGTCCCTCTCGGCCAATGAGAGGGTCGGACCCCTTGTTCAAGTCCCGGAGTCAGCATTTAAGGGAACACTCATCTACTCCCCTAAAGTCGGGGAGGAGTGAATTCCATTTTGTAAAGTTATGTTCCCAGCTCCCCACTCGGTCTCGTCCCCAAAATGGTAGGAATGTTGAGTCGGCGACTCAGGCCACTTTCACCCATACAGATCAAAGAACGAGCCCTCACGGGCAGGAGTCCATCACTCACTCAGGATTGAGAATGAGTTGTCTGGTCATCATAAGAAATGACAATCTATTAGTTAACGGTGTTACAACTAAAGATTGCCTATTTCGCGGTCCGGTCTTATACAAACTCATTGTATAGGATACCCCCACTCGCATGTCTCCACACGAACGACCTGGATCGAGTCGTCAGTAACCTTTACAGAGCGGGCCGTATCCATAGTGTTGCCAGGATAAGGTACCCAGTCTTATCCATATACTATAGACCCTTTAGGTTATTCACGAGACATTATCCATTCATATATCAGGGGTATATCAAATATATACCCCGTATATCAACTATATACCCAGTATATATACTGTCCCGATTACATCACAAATAACCTTGGATGTTTAGTTTATTGGATTTTGGATAATGCAAAGCTATGATTCAACAACAAATTTATTGAATAAAACTTTATTAAATAGACATTTGTTTTTACAAAATACAAACTACGAGTTTAGGGCAACACACCCAACATTAATTTCTTGAAATTTTATAAGAGTTAAAAATTTGGTAGATAGAAATTAAAGTCTATAATAAAGGATTGCATACAAACATAGGATCTAAGTTAATTAATTTTAAAGGGGTTTAAAATTAATTAGACCTTAAGTTATATCTTCTAATATGATTAGGGGCAGTCTTTTATTTTTGTTTTAATTAATTTTAAAACGAAATAATAAAAGACTAAATATAAAATATTGCCTATAAGGRAACCTTATCYAAGGAAGGTGCTATCTATGTTGAGGTATTTAAACTGACCGTAAAGGAACACATCTACYTAGGAACCGACCTGGGGGTTGAATTAGTTAATTCATGCAATAATTTCATTAGTTTATTAAAACGTTTGATAAACTAAAACATTATTGTACAACTTCCAATATAAATAGTTATATTGGACTGACTAAAAATTCACTTARTTAATTTTACTTAGCTGGGTTTTAACTAAGTAATATACCCTAGTCTTAGAATACTAAGTGGGAGCAAAAGAGAATGTGTTATATAYCACGTATATTTTTGATATTCAATGTATATATGACATATTTTTTCTCTCACGTTTCTCTTTAATGTTCACACTGTGAGTCCATGCTCGGCCTCGTGTTGCCTTGAGCACGRCCTCCTTATGGAAGGTGTTTGCATGGTTCAATATCGAGGTGAATGGAGATAGTATTCATAGTAAGTGGGAGAAGGACGTGTGRCAACACATTCTATGGTCTCCACCATTGGTTTGCACCGTGAGATTTCGTACATGACSTGCGTGTCGTCCTGGTACGACCATCTCTACGGATTGTCCATTGTATGGAATCGAAATCAAGACAAACTCCAGAAATGGATAAGGATTTCTTAGGTTTTGCTCCAATGTTTTCCTTCCTTACGGCGGGATTATAGGGGCTGGCCTCTAAGGTCTGAAAATGRTGGGTCACGCTTACGGGGAGTTGTTAAGCAAGTTAGTAATTTCCTAACCAAATAAACGATGACTAAAGATTATAGGAATAAGARTTATTTTGGTGTAAAATTTAGTTGAAAACATCTCAATTCAGTGAAGGAGTAGTTGTCTGTCCTATGGTGACTGTTGTTCTAAATCATTGAAGCGTCGTTGCAAAACAATTTTGTTAAAGTGCTTAATTACTTTTGCTAAAATTTGATTGGTTTTAAAAGGATAATGCATGAAACTAATATARGTTTGTTTTTRTTTTTAGCATGTCTACTTCTATAATTGCACTTTTAGCTGCAGAAAAACTTAACGGCGAGAACTMCAAACAATGGAAATCGAACCTAAACACCATACTAGTGATAGATGATCTTAGAGTYGTCTTCCAAGAGGATTGTCCTCAAGCTCCWGGGCCTAACGCCATTGTGGCGGTGCACAACCACTACAAGAATTTTAATTTTTCCCAACGCTATAAAACGTTGGGAAATGACCAAAAAAATGTTGGGAGTAGTGTCTCCCAACGATAAATATTCGTYGGCAAAAAAGTTAGCAAAAGTGCGTTGGGAAAGCACATTGCCAACATTTTTTAAAAAACTTTAGCAGAACAATACTGTTGCCGACCTTCAAAAAACATTGGTAGAGCTGACTTTCTACCAACGTTTCCTAAACGTCGGTAGATCTAAATGTTTTAGAGAAACGTTGGTAGAGTTGTCGAAGTTATGAAAACKTTGGCAGAAGTTTCCATCTATCAACGTTTCTCAAAATGTTGGCAAAAGTTTACACCTGCCAACGTTTTGAAAAGCATCGACAGATCTACTATTATGCCAAAGTTTCGAAAAACATCYACGGATTTATTATTCTGCCCACATTTCGAAAAATGTTGGTAGATCTACTATTCTGCCAACGTTTTGCAAACGYCRGAATATTTACAGTTTTACTGACGTTTTTACCAAAAACGTTGGCCAGTTATTTAATTTGTTTTTAAATAAAATGAGCTAATTTCAATCCCGACATTCTTGAGAGACCTCATTTGAAGGTCAAATACMAAAATATCAAATACCAATATATCATCCAGATTCACATGTTTCAAAAGTTCTTGAATTTACACGTTTAATATGTTTCAAAAGCTACAAAAACCTAAGTAGARGTTTTATATCTATCCAGACAAAGGGCCATGATCTACCTGAGGATTGACTCATGAAACTTTYGAAGTAGTTTTTGAAGTTACTGAAGTCTCGTAGATTGCTGGCTAAAGCTTCTTCARTTTGGCTTAAGCGATCTTCGGTATTGTCCAATCGTTCTTTAGTCTCCTTCAATTTGTCTTTAGTCACCTTTAATTCTTCTTTTGTMTGATTTAGTTCCTCCATGACTGTTGGATCGTTGGATGAGCTTCCTCTTCTCGCTCCTGGTGTTGGGCCCAACCCCATGCTTACGACGAATTTGGATCGAGGATCGAATACAGTCCGACAACAATCTGCTTCTATCGGCAGATCAGTCCTTTCTGGTACAGGTGCATCCCTCACGTCCTCTAACACTTTCTGCAAAAAATGGGTCATGCATTGTGTAACAATACTCTAAGTTCATATACTCGTAATGGATAATTAACAAACTAAAACTTACATGTGTTGTTTCGGCATGGGGGTTTACCCATCATTTTTCAGGATTATATCTCATCTCTTTAAACATTTGGATGAGACCGATCTCCATGCTAAGCTTGTCTTTCTGCATTTCACATGAATTACACCGGTCAGTGCAAAACATACCGGAATCGTACGTGTAATTATCAATTATGCATAATTACCAGTTTTTATTGCATATGATYGAATGTTTTAGACYCGACCCGATGATTGTAAGTGACCTTTGACCTACTCCTTTTGTTTATCTCTGATTTTTCCTTRTGAACAAGATCAATTGGCGATTAGTATGCAATCTAACATGTTACTTAAAGTTGTAATAAGGAAAGATGAGASCGTACCTTCCATTCAGGAGTTTTCCATCTATCGCACAACTTGTGTCAATTATCTAGCTTCTCAATTCGTCGATGTGGCTTCCCACGAGCTACCTTTGGAGTTCCATTTTTTTTAGTAGGAATACAATTCTGCCCRATACTGCTTAAATGTCAATTGAATATGCTTATAAATGAATTTTTCATCTTTGCCTATGAGATGTTCACTTTGAACCAGTTCTAGAACGATAAMATTATAATTAATGGACATATGTTGTATCATTTAAATGAATTGAGTAAAAATATTACTTACAATTACGCGTTTGATGGCTTTTCCTACCATTTCCTCTGGTACCTCCCTCCACTTCGTGTACTCCACCTGTTTGGGATTTTGGATTCAAAATAAATGAGAGCGCAAGTGTACACC